CGCCTCAAGGCGCACGCAAAGATGCTCCCCGACCACACCAAGAAGACCTACCGCAAGCTCATCCGCGACACCTTGCTCAAGATGGTCAACATCGCCCACACCAAGCACACGCTCGTCGGCAGCGCCACCGTCCGCGGTGTGTCTGGTGGTGAGCGCAAGCGTGTCTCGATCCTCGAATCGCTCGCCTCGGGCGCCAGCGTCTTCTCCTGGGACAACTCGACGCGTGGTCTCGACGCCTCGACCGCCCTCGACTATGTCAAGAGCATGCGCATCCTCACCGACCTCCTCGAGGCCACCATGTTTGTCTCGCTCTACCAGGCCTCCGAGGGCATCTGGGAGCAGTTTGACAAGGTGCTCGTCATCGACGAAGGCCGCTGCGTCTACTTTGGCCCCCGCACCGAGGCGCGCCAGTACTTCATCAACCTCGGCTTTGCGGATCGTCCGCGCCAGACCTCGGCCGACTACATCACCGGCTGCACCGACAAGTACGAGCGCATCTTCCAGGACGGCCGCGACGAGTCCAACGTGCCCAGCACCCCCGAGAAGCTCGAAGAGGCCTACCGCAACAGCAAGTTCTACACCCAGGCCGTCGAGGAGAAGAAGGCCTTCGACGCCGTCGCCATCGCCGACGCCCAGGCCACCACCGACTTCAAGCAGGCCGTCGTCGACTCCAAGCACCGCGGCGTGCGCTCCAAGTCGCAGTACACCGTCTCGTTTGCCGCACAGGTGCACGCGCTCTGGCTCCGACAGATGCAGATGACCTTGGGCGACAAGTTTGACATCTTTATGAGCTACGTCACCGCCATCGTCGTCGCCCTCCTCGCAGGCGGCATCTTCTACAACCTCCCCACCACCTCGGCCGGCGTCTTCACCCGCGGCGGATGCCTCTTTATGCTGCTCCTCTTCAACTCGCTCTCGGCTTTCGCAGAACTGCCCACACAGATGATGGGCCGTCCCATCCTGGCGCGTCAGACCAGCTTTGCCTTCTACCGTCCCTCGGCGCTGACGCTCGCCCAGCTGCTGGCCGATCTGCCGTTCGGTGTTCCCCGAGCCACCATTTTCGTCATCATCCTCTACTTTATGGCCGGCCTGGAGCGATCTGCCAGCGCCTTCTTCATCGCTTGGTTCGTCGTCATCGTCTCCTACTACTCCTTCCGCGCGCTCTTCAGCTTCTTCGGCTCCATCACCACCAACTTCTACTCGGCCGCTCGTCTGGCTGCCATCGTCATGTCCATGCTCGTGCTCTGGGCAGGCTACGTGATCCCGCAGGCGGCCATGCGCAGGTGGCTCTTCTGGATCTCGTACATCAACCCGGTCTTCTACGCCTTTGAGGCGCTCATGGTCAACGAGTTCAAGCGGATCACCTTCACGTGCGAGGGNTGGCTCTTCTGGATCTCGTACATCAACCCGGTCTTCTACGCCTTTGAGGCGCTCATGGTCAACGAGTTCAAGCGGATCACCTTCACGTGCGAGGGTGCACAGATCATCCCCTCGGGCCCCGGCTACCCGACGCAGCTCACCGACAACCAGATCTGCACGCTCGCTGGCGCCACTCCGGGCACCAACCAGATTCCGGGCGCCGCCTACCTTGCTGCCAGCTTCGGCTACCTCGAGAGCCACCTGTGGCGCAACATTGGTATCCTGATTGCCTTCCTCTTCGGATTCGTCGCCATCACCGCGCTCGTGGTCGAGTCGATGGACCAGGGCGCCTTCGCCTCGGCCATGGTCGTCAAGAAGCCGCCCAGCAAGGAAGAGAAGGAGCTCAACAAGAAGCTCCAAGACCGTCGTTCGGGAGCCAGCGAGAAGACCGAGGCCAAGCTCGAGGTGTACGGCAAGCCGTTCACCTGGAGCAACCTCGAGTACACTGTGCCCGTCCAGGGTGGCCACCGCAAGCTCCTCGACAGCGTTTACGGATACGTCAAGCCGGGAACCATGACTGCGCTCATGGGCAGTTCCGGTGCGGGCAAGACGACGCTCCTCGACGTTCTCGCCGACCGCAAGACGATCGGTGTGATCAAGGGCGAACGTCTGATTGAGGGCAAGCCGATCGACGTGTCGTTCCAGCGCCAGTGCGGCTACGCCGAGCAGCAGGACATCCACGAGCCCATGTGCAGCGTGCGCGAGGCTCTGCGCTTCTCGGCCTACCTGCGCCAGAGCCACGACATTCCGCAGGCTGAAAAGGACCAGTACGTCGAAGACATTATCGAGCTGCTCGAGCTGCAGGATCTGGCCGAGGCCATCATCGGCTACCCTGGTTTCGGCCTCGGCGTCGGCGACCGCAAGCGCGTTACCATCGGCGTGGAGCTGGCGGCCAAGCCGTCGATGCTTCTCTTCCTCGACGAGCCCACTTCGGGACTGGACGGTCAGTCGGCTTTCACGATCTGCAGGCTGCTGCGCAAGCTGGCGGACAACGGCCAGACGATTCTCTGCACGATCCACCAGCCCTCGGCTCTGCTGTTCGAGACGTTCGACAGGCTGCTGCTGCTGGAGCGTGGCGGCAAGACGGTCTACTCGGGCCCGATCGGTCGCGACGGCAAGCATGTGATCGAATACTTTGCGGCGCGCGGTGCGCAGTGCCCTCCGGGCGTCAACCCGGCAGAGTACATGCTCGACGCGATCGGAGCGGGAAGCCAGCCGCGCGTGGGCGACTACGACTGGGCCGACTGGTACCTCGAGTCGGACATGCACCAGGACAACCTGCGCGAGATCGAGGCGATCAACCGCGAAGGCGCTGCGCTGCCCAAGCCTGAGGGTAGAGGTAGCGAGTACGCTGCGCCGTGGTCGTACCAGTTCAAGGTGGTGCTGCGCAGGACGATGCTGAGCACGTGGCGCCAGCCTGCATACCAGTACACTCGATTCTTCCAGCACCTCGCCTTCGCTCTGCTCACCGGTCTGCTCTTCCTGCAGCTGGGCAACAACGTGGCTGCGCTCCAGTACCGACTCTTCGTCATCTTTATGCTGGCGATCATTCCGGCGATCATCATGGCGCAGATCATGCCGTTCTGGATCATGTCGCGCTCCATCTGGATCCGCGAGGAGACGAGTAAGACTTTCGCAGGCACCGTATTCGCGGCGACGCAGCTCATCTCCGAGGTGCCGTATGCGCTGGTGTGCGGTACGGTGTTCTTTGTGCTGATCTACTACCTGGCCGGCTTCAACACGGATTCGGGCCGATCGGCGTACTTCTGGTTCATGACGTTCCTGCTGGAGCTGTTTTCGATTTCGATCGGCACCATGGTGGCGTCGTTCTCCAAGTCGGCCTACTTTGCGTCGCTCTTCGTGCCGTTCATCATCCTGGTGCTCAACCTGACGTGCGGTATTCTGTCGCCTCCGCAGGCCATGTCGAGCGGGCTGTACAGCAAGTTCCTGTACAACGTCAACCCGATCCGCTTTACGATTTCGCCGCTGATCGCCAACGAGCTCTACGGGCTTTCGATCCAGTGCGCTGCCAACGAGTTCAGCCGCTTCTCGCCCCCGAATGGGCAGACGTGCGAGCGTTGGGCGGGCAACTACATTGCCAGGATGGGTGGCTACCTGGCCAACCCGTCGGCGACGCAGGACTGCATGTACTGCACCTACGCCACCGGCGAGCAGTTCTACGCTCCCTTCGGCATCACGTGGGGAGAGCGCGGCCGCGACCTGGGCATCTTGATCGCCTTTGTGGCGTTCAACTGCGCCGCGACGATTGTGTTCACCAAGGTGTTCAAGTTCAGCAACCGTTGATCCACACGGTCCTTTTGCATGTATAGATTCGCAGTTCCACCCTTCTTTTGGATCACCTTTCTTTTAGAATATGAGTATGACGTTGGCAGAGTGGGGTCGGGGTGTGAGTGAATGGCGACGAGGCGACGACGAGCTCCGGCGTGTTCCGACGAGGTGGTGAGTGAGCGTGACTGTGCAGGCGGCGGATGTGCCGATGAAGTGGACGGGCAGATGCGCAGTGCTGAAGCTTAAAATTTCGCGTGCGGGAAACACCCTTTCACCACGCTCATCACGCTCATCACTCCTCCCACCTGCCTTTCCACCACCGCCACCTTCAATACTGGGTATCGACGTCAACGCTGCAGCCATGGCGTCTGCTTCAGCCTCTGCATCGACATCCGGCTCCGGCTCCACCTCGACGCCCGCATCTGGCTCTGGCTCTGCACCTGGCACCGCTTCATCTCACGATTCGAAACTCGCCACTGGACTTTCACACAAAGCCGCAGGAAACGCCAGCTTCGTGTCGGGCGACATTTCTGCTGCGCTGTCCTCCTACCACCACGCAGTCCTATACCTATCCGGCCTTCAAACCCGAAGTATCCTTGGGCTTGTTGGCGAATCGACGACGGATAGCAAGCCAGAAGATCTGGATTCCGACTCGGACGACGGCACTGCATCTGCTCCTACGAGCGAAGTTGAGCTTTCGCAGGTGTACAGCAACATGGCGGCGTGCTACCTCAAGCAGGGACGGTGGGATCGAGCGCTGGATGCGGCGGATAAGGGTCTGCGTGCCGACTCGCGCAATGTCAAAGCCAAGTTCCGTCGCGCACAGGCGCTGCGTGGGCAGAACAACCTCTACGCCGCGCGCGACTACCTCCAACTCACCCTCGACAGCCTGGGCAACAAACGCGCCGATGCAAAGGTGGGATTCCAGGCCGAGCTGAACAAGGTGCAGGCCGAGATTGGGATCAAGGAGGCCAAGGCGAGGAACAAGTGGGTTGGATTCTTGGGCAAGAATCCCGGTGCGCTCAGCGTCGATGATCGGACCGATGCGCAGGCCGAGTCATCGTGAATGCAATGCCATGCCGTCGAGTGCGTTCCTATCAACTTGACAATCCAGCGAGCGGTCTGTGCAGTGTTGAGGCGGTGGGTAGCACTGGCAGTTGGGTGAGAGGGTTGGCTTCCGAGATCCGAAGGTGAGCGAAATTTTTGTGGAGGCTTCCAAGTCGCGCACCGCTCGCTCTCTCTCGCCCTTGCATCTTGTTGCATCAACCCCTCATCTTGAGACGCTGTCAACGATGGGAAAGAGCAAGACTCCGGTTGCAGCGAGCGGAAAGGCCGCTGTGGCATCCGAGATCGACGACATCTTTTCGTCCACCACCACTCCCAAGTCGAGCTCCAGCAAAGCGACGCGATCCCAAGCTTCGACCAGCAAAGCAATGAAACGGTCCAAATCATCCCAACCAAGCGATAGGATGGTATCGCAGTCGAACTCATCATCATGTGCGTCCGAGTTGAAATCCAAGTCGAAGCGAAAACTCGAGTCCGAATGCGGTCCATCCAAGAAGCGTGCTGTGGAGGTGGTTACCGACACCTCGTCGTCCATCCCTACCAGCACAGCTGCACCAGCACCGGTCAAGATTCGAGCCAAGGTGTTGGCTGGCAATGGCGCGTATGATGCAGCCAAGCAGTCGGAGCTGGACGACTTTGCCAACTCGCGCGGCGCGGGCGAGAGGAAGAGAACCGACGATGGTCTGCGCATCTTTTCCCCCGCCGAACTCGGCATGAACGACAAGGGCGGCGATACCGAACTGTGTCCATTCGACTGTAATTGCTGTAAGTTCCCCAAATTCCCCCGCCACAACACCCGTCCAGAGGTCAATTACTGCTCCAAACTGAGTGTTGAGCCCCGTTCACACACCCAGATCCTTGGCCAAAACCAGCAATGGTAGAAGCTAGTCATCCTTGCCTCACCATCCAGACCGAGACATTGCCCTGTTCAGTGTAGCCACACTGTACCACACTGGTACCTCTGCTTGCGCCTCTCTCGATGCACACGCCCCAGCAGCTTTGCCAGATTGCCGGCTTTATGACTCACTCACAACCTTGCTTCTGTCCGCGCAACAGGCTTCTGACCCCCATACAATGCCCTTCATTCTTGGCCAACCCATCCCAGTCAAGCATGGACACTGGATCGTCTTTTTTCGAGCGATTTCAAACTTGTCAAAGATGGTGCATCTCGTCTTGCGCTGCGTGAGAATGTGAGCGTACAATGCGCGGCTGGTCAAGTCGATTCTACGGCGACGACTGCCAGCTGCAAACCTAGAAGCGTTCGCCTCGCACCCGCCCATGCGTGGCTTCGAGCACTGTATAGCAGCACCGCTCCTGCAGCGTTTCGCCAGAGTGAAAAAAAGAACGTCTCCTTGTTGACGTTGCGCCAGAATGCGGGGCCTGGGACTTGTGAGTCGCGTGCGGCCGTACGAGCGTGTTACCTTCTGCCTCTCTATGACGGTCTGTATGGCCGCCCACGCCTGTAATCTTGCACGACGCTTGTGCCGACGCTGACAGGGTTGCGCCGCACGCTCCACGCGCGTATCCACGCGCACGAGCCTGTCGCCCGCCCGCCCGACCTTCTCCAACACAAGCACGACGGTCGTACCCAAGCAGAGATTGCGTTGCATGCAAGCTGACATTGCGTCGTCTGCGGGGATGCGATTGCGGTGTATGCCAGCTACGAGGATTGAGCGCGCCCGATGCCCATGCCCACGCGCACGAGCGTCTCGATCGCTGCACGCGAGTTGTCCAGCAGATCCTGGTCCCAAGCCAGCCGGCCCTTCTCGAACACAAGCACGATCGTCGAGCCGCCAAATTTAAAGAAACCAAACTCGTCGCCGCGCGCCACCCTCTGCCCCTCTTTGACGGTGAGCACGGTGCTGCCGACCATCATGGCGCCGATGCAGACGGCGTAAAAGGTGCCAAAGTGGTCCGAGTGGAACGGCACCACCACGCGGATGTTTTCGCCGTACACGTCGATCGCCGACCGGATCGCCATGGGGTTCACCGTGTAGTACTGCCCCGTGATCCACGTCGGCTTGCCCACCGTCGCGTCCGCAGGGCAGTGGAACCGGTGGTAGTCCTGCGGCGCCAGTCGGAAGATCGCCAGCGCACCGCCCGTCTGGTAGCTGTCCAGCTCCGACGGCGCAGCCGCCTCGCCCAGCAGCCGCGCCACGCTAAAGTCGCGGCCCTTGATCCAGATCCGCGTCGCCTCGCTCACGCTTTCAAACGCCATCATGCGGCAGTCGGCGCCGCTCACCAGCCGCGCCGGGTTGTCCGGCTCCTCGTTCGGCCGCGCGTCCGGCTTGAGCTTGCGATAGAAAAACTCGTTGAACGTCGTAAAGCTCTCGAGCGGCTCGCGGATCTCGTCGAGGTCGAGGTTGTGGAACGCAATGAATCCCGCAATCTCGCGCGCGCTCGCAGGGTTGTCAAACTTGACCCCTTGCTTGACGCTCATGTTTTTGAGCATGCGCTTCACCCGCGCGCCCTCCATGCGCGAGCGTGCGCCCTGGTACAGCAGTCGGATGCCCAACCGGACGTACACCTGCATCTTTTCCTCCATCAGCTCGCCCGAGATGCGGTCCTGCACGATGATGTTGGCGCTGTTGGCGCCGAGCGAGTAGTTGCCCTGGCTGATCTTGTTGACCACCTTGGTGTACCACTTGCGGTGCGCCTGGCTCGCCGTCACGTAGTTGCGCACCGTCAGGCTCTCGACGCGCCGCCAGTCGTGCGCGGCGCATACGGCGAGGTGCGTGATGATGTCCATCTCGCCCTTGTTCGACAGCCGCGGCATGTGGCACAGCGGACACGACTGCAGACGCACCACGCGCTCCACCGCCTGCGCATCGTCGTACGACGAACCAGCCTCGCCCGCCTCACCCTCGCCCTCAACCTGGATGAGTGGAGGCGTCGGCGACGTCGAGAGCATCCCCGAGCTTGAGTTTGACGCGCTGCGCCGCTTGTCCGCCGCGCCGCCGGCACCGGGATCAGCCAGCTGCGCACCGCCGCCCGTCGACGAAGAGTCGGTAGACGAGGTCATGGACAGCGCCGAAAAGTCGCGATCCAACGGGCGCATGTTGCCGCCCGCTTGGTTGGCGGCCGCTGCTTCCGTGCCGGGGCCGTCGGCGCTGGGCGCATTGGCTCCGCTCAGGTCCGCATCTTGATTGACGTCGGTTCCGATGTCGCCGACGCCTCCGAGAAGCGAGGGCGTCTGTGCGCCGCTGTTGAGGTTGGACGGCTGCATGGCCTTGCGCTTGAGCGCCCACGGCTTCTGCACCTCGGCCTCGAGCGCGACGATGATGTCGTCAAAGCTCAGCTCGTCCTCGTCCGGGTTCTTGTCGAGCGCGTGGAAGAAGCTGTCGAGCGTCTTTGTGCTGAGCGTGCTGCCGAGACTCTCGAGCATGCTCGACAGCTCGAGGCGCGAGAGGGTCCCGCTGTCGTTGGTGTCAAACTGCTGCGCCAGCTGCCTCCAGAAGCGCTGACGGAGCGCGTCGTAGGGCGTAAACTTGGCCTGGATGGTGAGCGAGGGCGGTTTGGTGGTGCGCTTGAACTTGACCTCCTCGTCCTTCTCGACGCGCGAGAGCGGGAGGACAAACTGCTTCATCGAGCCCAGCACGCCGTCGTCGTCGGCATAGAGACCGGTGAGCGTATCGGGCTTGGGCGCCGCATCGAGCAGCTCGGCGATCGAGATGCTGGCGCCGCCGACATAGTCGTTGGACGACATGCGATCCCAGTCGTAGATCATAAACTTGGCCTGGAAGTTGGTCTCGTGGCGGCGGACGTGGAAGAGGAGCTTCTCGTTCCAGGTGGGGTTGAGCGTGTGGCGCGCGACGCGGGTGCGGAAGATCTTTTGGCCAAAGCTGATGATAGCGAAGGGGTCCATGTCGAAGCTGGTGTGCGTGACGTTGGTCCAGCGCGGCAGGTCGCTGGCGCCCTGCACCTCCATCATGACGATGCCGATGATATCCATGCCCATCTCGGCCTTGAAGGCGTACTCTCCGCGCTTGCGGCCGGCGGCGCCTCCGCGTCGCTTGATGCGGCGGGTGCGGGTCCGGGGCGTGCTGCCGTCAGCCGCGGCGGGCACTGCGTTGCTCGACTTGAGACGCTTGACGCCGGGCAGACGTCGCCTTGTGCGCGGCTTGGCGTCGGTGCTTGCGCCGAGATCGGTGCCGGTGGCTGTGGAGCGCGCGGCCTCGACGTCGGAGCTGGTGGATTCGATGGGCGTTGCGGCACCCGAAGTCTGTGCCGACCTGAGGCCCTTGGTGCGCGAGAACATGCGTCGATACTTGCCCGGTCGTGATGTCGGCTGCGTCGGCGGGGGTGGTGTGAGGAGTGCGGCCGACTGCGGTGCAGCCGAGGACTTGGAAGCGGCGGATGGGGTGGCTGCGATGGACTGGTAGTGCTGGTCGTAGACGGCTTCGTCGTCCGAGTCAAACTCGATGCCGTCGTTGAGGTCGCTGCGGTCGTCGCCGTCCGAGGTGATGAGGTCGTCATCACGGTCGGTGATGTCGTCGTCGTCTTCGTCGTCATCATCATCGTCGTCGTCCTCTTCGTCGCTATCGTCGCTGCTGAGGCCGTCGTCGACAAAGGCTTCTTGGGCGGCCGCGGTGCCTACGGACTGGGAGGCAGGGATGGCGCGCACGGCGGCACCGGCCGAGCCGAGCGTGGCGAGTACGAGGCGGTTGTAGACTTCCTGTACGCTCCAGGAGCGCGGACCGGACGAGGAGTGGGCTGCGGCGTCGAGGGGCACGAATCCGACCTTGACCTGGAGTTCGCCGCTGATCTTTGCGTCTGGACGGGAGGATTCGACGGGGAGCCAGAGCGGCTGCGCGTTGGACCATTCAGCCAGGCCATCCTGGCACCACTGTGCGACCTGGAGGGAGCATTCGCCCATGTAGTCGTTTCCGGAGAAGCGGTCCTTGTCCCAGATGACGAATTCGAGCGACGAGACCATGCCGTTGGAGGCGTCTAGCTGGATGGAGCCGCGGGGCGGTTTAGTGTCTTGGAGTGCGGCGGTGGAGGGGCTGTCTGAGCCGAGCGTGGACGAGGGACGCGAGTTGGTGAGCGGATTGCGACGACGCAGCCGCATGGGCCTGGGCATCTGCCTGCCGACTACACGAGCGCCTGCCGCACCGAGACGGACGGGGGCGACGAGGATCTTGGAAGCGGCGCCCTGGATGCGCTTGGAGGAGGCGGAGCGAAGATTGAGACGTGGGCGCGATTTTGCGTTGGTGTCTGGCGTTTGAGCGCCCGAGGATGTTGGGGCTTGTGCAGCCGGGTCGGGGACTATGGCATGTTGGATGGCGCGACGCACGACAGACGAGTCGATGTCTTCGGTCGCCACGGCGGCAAAGTTGGGACCGAACCATTCCGGGAGCACGGGAAAGTTGAAGGTGGCCTCGTCGGCTGTCCAGGTGGGATCGAGCGTCTTTGGCTTTACGGTGGTCTGGGAGCGTGAGTCTGCATCGTGATGGGCCGAGGCGACGGAGCCGGGTAGGCTGACGAGCACAAAGGGGTCCGATTTGCCGTTTCTGTCCTTGGCAGCGAGGTTCCTGGCCGAGAGCACCTGCACCCGCAGCGTGCAGAGGGGTGGGGCCGACGAGGATGCGGTTGGCGGCTGCTGCGACGACATGGCTAGATGCGTAGGGGGTGTTGGGGGGGATGGCCTTGGAGGAGGGATCGCCTATATATCTGCGAGGCCCCGTCGGATGGCGCCGTCGAAGCCAGCGTGACTGCGACAGGCCGAGATGTGACGGTAGCAAAGGAGCCGAGCTGGCCGTCCATTGTTGCACGGGTGATCCGAGCGGGAGGTGCAGCGCGGTTACCCACGCCTCGCTGCATGCTGCTCTCTCACTCTCGGCTCACATCCGGCGCCTGGCTGACTACTGTCTCTGTCTAGCTCGAGCCTTTCGAGCCTCGTTGCCGCGGAAGAGCCGACGCATGCACCTTGCGTTGGTCCGGGCTGGGCTGTGTTGGTCTTTGCTCGGCGAGAGGACCCGACGAAATGCGGAGTGCCTAACATTTGCCGGTCTAACAATGCTTAGCTTTCATTTGGCGCCAGGAAAATGCCATTCGGATCCGAGTTGCGATTCGGAATTTTACGTCGCTGTTTCTCTCTCGCAGCGCTGTGGCATCGAGCTTGAAAGGCAGGGCGGAGCAGTGGCGGGGCATGTCGAGTCGTGCGAAAGGGCGGCGCTGCCCAAACGTCGAATCTGCTTCATGGCGATCTGCAAGCATCGCTGTTGCCCACCACCATCTTTCTATTGCTACTCACTCTCACTCGCAATCCACTCGCAAAAATGGCAGGCCCAGCAGCTCAGGCAGCCAAGAACAAGGCTCGTCAGATCTTCATGAAGAACTGGTTCGTCTCAACACCTCACATCTATCCCCTCGACTTGACTTTGCACTGACACTTTTTTTTTGGCTTTGGGGGTGCGGGCAGGTATGCTCCGGAGGTTCTTCCCATCTACGTTATCACTGGTCTTGCTGCCGGCGGTGCCACCTGGTAATTTCCCAGTCCCAACATCAAGGTGGACAAGGACATGGAGACTGACTTTTTTGTTTTCTGGTTTGGGGCGTTACAAGGTACTTGAGCCGACTGGCACGTGGACCGGACGTCATCTGGGACCGCAAGAACAACCCTACGCCGTGGAACAACGTCGAGCCGGGCACCAACACCAAGATGATGTCGGTCAACCAGCAGTTCGACAAGCAGTACAAGCGCGACCGTCTGTAAAATCCCCCAAGGCCCGAGTCCAATTTGTGTACCCTTTGCGCGCACCACACCCCGAACACCACGTCCCCCCAATTCCAGCGTCCGCATTCAGCTTCTCCTTGGGCAGCATTCAGCAGGGCGTGTGGCAAGTGATTTGGCAGCGACAACATCCGATGCGACCATAGACAGATGCGGCCTCGAGTAGGCAGCAAGACGGGTCGGAAGCAAGCCGATTCGATAGTATTGCAGCAGCACCAGTGAAGCGCAGCTGCAGCACAGACTATCGCCTCTATTCTAGTCCGCTCTTTGAAGTCTCATGAGTACCACTGTTCACACGCTCAACCCAACGACAAACTGACTAGGGCACGTCTATTACACGAACAAACAGGTGAGTCGAGATTAGAACCAGTCGCCATGCTGCTTCATGGCATCGGCGACCTTCTTGAACCCGGCGATGTTGGCGCCACCGACCAAGCTGGGCAGCTTGGCCTTGTCTCCCTTGGCGGGGAACTTGGTGCCCGTCTGGAAGCAGTTTTCGTATGCGTTCTTCATGATGCCCTTGAGCTTGGCATCCACCTCCTCGGTGGTCCAGGTCAACCTCGCCGAGTTCTGTGCCATCTCGAGCCCACTGACCGCCACACCGCCCGAGTTGGCCGCCTTGCCGGGACCGTACCAGCAGGGCGAGTTGGAGCTCCTCGAGGCTTCGAACACGTTGATTGCTTCCTGGGTGAGACCCATGTTGCTGCCCTCGGCGACGTACTTGCATCCAGCGGCGATGGCAGCCTTGGCCTCGTCCTCGTCCATCTCGTTCTGCGTCGCACACGGAAGTGCCACGTCGTACTTGGACACGAGCTTCCATGGTCGTGCACCCGCGTGGAACTCGAGCGATGCATCGCTGAACGTCGACAGCTCGCCACGGTTGTACTTGATCTCGGCGATCTTTTCGATCATCTCGGCGGTGAAGCCCTTGTCGCCCTTGGCGACGAGCGATCCCTTGGAGTCGGACAGCGACAGCACGCTTCCTCCGAGCTCCAACACCTTGAGTGCAGCGTACTGGGCGACGTTGCCCGAACCGGAAATGACCACCTTCTTGCCCTGGAATCCGCCACCCGACTCGACGTGTGCGATCATGTGCTCCACATAGTAGATCAGGCCGTAACCGGTGGCTTCGGGACGGATGAAGCTTCCACCCCAGTCGATCGCCTTGCCCGTAATCACACCGGTCCACTCGTTGCGCAGCTGCTTGTACGTTCCAAACACGAAACCCGCCTCTCGGGTCGAGAATCCAATGTCGCCGGCGGGGACGTCGGTGTTGGGACCAATGTGGCGCTGCAGCTCGGTGGCAAAGGCCTTGCAGAATCGCCTCACCTCGGCATCGCTCTTGCCCTTGGGGTTGAAGTCACTTCCACCCTTACCGCCGCCGATGTTGAGGCCGGTGAGGGCGTTCTTGAAGATCTGCTCAAAGCCGAGGAACTTGAGCACCGACAGGTTGACCGTCTCGTGCAGACGCAGACCGCCCTTGTAGGGGCCCAGCGCCGAGTTGAACTGCACGCGGTAGCCGCGGTTGACCTGCGCAACGTGCTTGTCGTCCTCCCACACCACGCGGAACTGGATGATGCGCTCGGGGATCTGGATAATGTCAAACGCCTTCTGGTACGACGGGTTCTGCTCGAGGAAGGGCGCGAGCGTCGAGCCGAGCTCGTTGAGCGCCTGCTCGAATTCGGGCTCTGCGGGGAGGTTGGTCATGCTGCTCGGTGTCGTAGTAGCTGGAGTGGGGGGTCGGACGGAATTGCGTTGGCCCATGGATGAGGTTGCTGACTTGCTATACACGATCGAGGCAAAGGGAGCGCAGACTATATACGAGCGCAGCCAGTGGCGAACCGTTGGCCATCCACGCCCGACTTGGATTCCGAGTCACAATCCATCGTCGCTGTCCATCCGCTTCCTCCACCGCTAACTCGGGGGCGACGCCGGATTACGCCATCTTGGGCACACGGACCGACGGGTGGGGACGGAAACACGCCCGGCCATCTGCGCATCTGGGCATCTGCGCGTCTCAGCATCTGTGGGCATGAAAGCGGGCGAGCAGGCGAGATGGGCATGCGATCGTCGTTTGTGATTCGTCCATGGCTCGCTCAGAGATAAGGGATTTGCGCCTTGATTTCCGCCGTCGACAGCTGGGCATCGTTATCTGCTCGCCATCTCTTCCAATCTCTGCCTCTCGATCGCCTCTCTGCGGTCCACAGCCAATCGAAGTAGGAATTTTCCAAAATCAACAAAAATAAACGCCGACTTTCACGCCGAACATCGCAAAGCCGTTTCCTTCCGCGCGGGCGGCGGCGCTGCTGCTGCTGCTGCTTGCATTATCTGATCCGATCTGACCCTTCCCCCACTCGCATAGTCGCACAGTCGCACAGTCGCACTGGCTGCCGTGTATATAAGCAACCACTGCGAGTGGTGGCCAAGGAACAAAACACAAAGGAGCGTTGCATGAGATCAGCGAGGTCTGCTGGTGCGACCCAGTGTTATTCACACGGCTTATCGTTGCATGACGGAGAGCAAACACACGAGTGACATCAGTGATAGTGACAGCCAGCAGTGACAGGCTCCAGATCACCTAGCCGAGCAACGAACAGAGATGCCCGTCTGCAATCGATTCGACCAAATTTTCGCTTCGCATCAGAATGTTCAATCTATCGATCTCACAGTGCAAATGAAAATTGCAAAATCGGGCGAGCCTGATTCGTCAGCCTTTTCGGCACGGGCGGGGGTGGCTCAAAATTCACCGAGCTTTCAGCCGGCCTCTACCCAAAGAGAGCTGAGTCGGCATTTCATCCTCACTTCTTCCACCCCCACCACCGCTGACCCAGGCTGCCCAACATGGCCTTCTCGGGCGCACTCACACTCACCGATCTCAACGACTACCTCGGCCCCTCACAGGCATGCATCAAACCCGTCGAAGGACCCGATGCACCCGCGCCCGAACCCGAACCCGAACCACTCGATGCGGCAGCCCAAGCCTCGACGCAGATCGCCATCGACCACGACGGATCGTACTACGAGTCTTCGGCTTCCACCAGCACCGCATCCAAGCCGAGGGAGAGGACAAAGCTCGAGACGGCAGAGATCTCGCTCAACGACTGTTTGGCATGCAGCGGGTGCGTCACGAGTGCCGAGAGCGTGCTCATCACCATGCAGAGCCAGGAAGAGCTGCGTCGTGCCGTCCAGGATATCCGCGACGCCGGACAACCGAGCTTGCTGGTAGCATCGATAAGCCCGCAGTCGCTCGCATCGCTCTCGGCCAAGTACACCTTCAACTCGGCGCACCCGGAGCTGCCACTCGATCTCCTGCTCCATCGCATCTCACACTTTCTCACAGCCCAGTTCGGATTCGACTACGTCTACGACACCACCTTTGCGCGCCACATTGCACTGCAGGAACACACCAACGAGTTCTTTGAGCGTCGATCCAATTCGAGCGCAGGCGCCGACGGACCCTCGCTGCCGATGCTGGCGAGCGCCTGTCCGGGCTGGATCTGCTATGCCGAAAAGACGCACGGCGAATTGCTGCCCTACATCTCGGCCACCAAATCACCACAACAACTCGCAGGCGTCATTGCAAAGCGCTTCCTTCCACAACGCCTCCACCTTGCAGCCGACACGACGGTCTACCACGTGACCGTGATGCCGTGCTACGACAAGAAGCTCGAAGCCTCGCGGCCGGATTTCTACAACGAGGTGACGCGCAGCAAGGACGTCGACTGCGTGCTCACCACGGGCGAACTCGACACGCTCATGCTCGACCAAGGCTTCGACATCACCCAACCCCTGCCCAACGAACAGGATGCCCTGTCGCACCCTTCGACCAGCGCAGTGACATTGCCACGCCTGCTGGATCAGCCGGGCAGCAGCAGCGGCGGCTACATGTTTGCACTCATGCGCGCCGTCTGGGCCGACTGGATCGCACACAATGCCCCACGGCTGCCCGAATCGGTGCGCGAATCGGGCGTGATGCCCAAACTCGACGTTCGCGTCATCCGAACCGCCGACTTTACCGAGTACCTCCTTCGCGATCCTCTGTCCTCGAGCGTGCTGTTTCGGGGTGCGCAGTGCTACGGCTTCCGCAACCTGCAGAATCTGGTGCGCAAGCTGCAGAAGCAGACNGATCCTCTGTCCTCGAGCGTGCTGTTTCGGGGTGCGCAGTGCTACGGCTTCCGCAACCTGCAGAATCTGGTGCGCAAGCTGCAGAAGCAGACGGGTGCGCGCTCGGCACGCGGCGCAGCGGGCAGACTCGTCGACGCCGACGGCAACACGCTCGGCGCCACGCGCAAGCCAGCACGCGGTCGCGGTCGAGGCGGCATGGTGAGGAGAGGCAGAGCCGCAGCAGGGATGGGAGGCGCAAGGAGCAGCCCGCTCAACCCCGAAGCTGCGGCTGTCGAAGCTGCGGAGGAGGAGCGCGGGTACGACTACGTCGAGGTCATGGCCTGTCCGTCCGGCTGCGTCAATGGCGGAGGTCAGATCCGACCGCCAACCGAAGCCACCACCACCACCGACCCCGAGGGCTATTCTCAGGGCTGGGCGACATCCACGGACACCGAAGAAGCCATGCTGGGGAAAACATGCATCAAGCAACCCACTTCAGCGGATGCCGACGACGTGGATATGGACGGGGAGAAGGAAATCAAGGGCTGGCAGGGCACGACAAAAGAATGGGTGCGTCGCGTCGAGCATGCCTACTGGCAAAGCTCAGCTGTGGCCCACCCGCCCGTCAGCATCGCCTCGTCCTCCTTGGGCTCGCTGGGGATGGACTCGGGCGCATCCACTCCGACACTGGTTAGTGGAGCCAGTACGCCGCTGTCGAGCAGCAGCGCAAAGTCGATCCGCATCCAAGACCATCAGCGCCTGCTCGAGGCGCTCACCCAGCCCGATGCCGCCGACGCAACGGCCGACCAGCTGGCTGCTGGCGTGGTGGAAGAGCTGTGCCAGCTGGAAGCCCGCAGTGCCTTGCTGCGCACACAGTACCGCGCCGTGCAGGACGAGGCGGTGAATGGTCTGGCCGTGCAGTGGTGAAGCCGCTGTGAAATCGCACTGCTTCTTCTCCACCACCCAATGCCGAGTGTGATGCGTGTGTGTACTGTATGTGTTGCCGTTCAGTTCTGCGGGGGAAAGAAGACCGGGATTTAGCCGCTTCGGCACCCTATGAATCCGCACGGCTGAGCCTAAACAGGGTCATGTGGCGTGGGCACGGCGCGGGGAAAAAAAAGGGTCCGTGCTTCGCTGTCAAACCGAAAAGCGCCAAGGTTCGGATTAGCCGCGCCTTGCACCTGCAGCCGTCGGTTGATCCGAGGCGCGTTCTGCTGCACTTCACACGCCACACTCTCCCAACCTAAAGTCACACTCGAAGCTCCAAACAGATGCTGCGGATGAGCCGACCAAGGGCAGGTATATAAAGGGGAGGCCGTCCAACGGGATCCGTCTCATCACCCCACACATAGCGACACCATCGACAAACCATGGCCGCGGCTCCGGAGACATTCGACTACATCGTCGTCGGCGGCGGCACCTCGGGCCCCGTCGCTGCAAGGCGTCTGGCAGAGTACCTCCCCGACGCCCAGATCCTGCTGCTCGAGGCGGGTCCGCGCCACGAAGACATCCTCGCCTCCACCATGGCCATGGGCTGGGAGGGCATCCACCACTCGCGCTGGGACTGGAAGTACACCTCGCAGCCCATGCGCCACGCCAACCATCGCCAGATCCACCTGCCCCGCGGTCGCTTCCTCGGCGGTTCCTCGGGCGCCAACGGCACGCTGATGATCCGCGGCGTGCGCAACGACTACGACCGCTTTGCTGCCCTGGGCAACGACGGCTGGAGCTGGGACGACGTGCTCCCCTTCTTCAAACAGTCCGAGACCTTCCATCCCGACCCAGACCAGCTGCCCTTTGATCCGGCCGTGCACGGCGACAGCGGCTCGCTCCACACCTCGTTCCACCCACTCGCACCCATCAGCCAGCGCATCGTAGACAGCTTCCTCGAAACCGGCCTCGAGTGGAAGCCCAACATGTTTTACACGGGCGACAACCAGGGCGTCGGTCACGTACCCCGCACCGTCTACAACGGCACCCGCACCAGCGGCGCCGATTTCGTTTCGGGCCCCAACCTCCCCTCCAACCTCACGGTCCGCTGCAACGTACAGGCCACGCGCATCATCCTCACCGACGGCGTCGACGGTGCCAAGGTCGCCACTGGCGTCGAGGCTCGCGACGACGAGACGGGTGCGCCGCTGCTCTTCCACGCCAACGCCGAGATCATTGTGTCGTGCGGCGCCTACAACTCGCCGCAGCTGCTCATGCTCAGCGGCATCGGTCCCAAGCACCAGCTCGACCGCTTCAACATCCCCGTCCAGCACGACGCGCCCGCCGTCGGCGAAAACCTGCAGGACCACATCATCACGTTCAACTTTTTCAACGTGTCGCAGCCCAAGCTCACGCACGACCACCTCGTATTCGACGAGGGTGCGCTGGCCACTGCCATGGGCAGCTACATGACCGACAAGTCCGGCCTCATGGGCCGCTTCCCCTTTGGAGCCTTTGTCTTCCGTCGATTCGACAAGGAGCTCGAGGCCAACTATCCCGAGTGGGTCGAGGCCAAACGCCGAGCTGGCGGCAAAGACCCCGTGGGCGCGGAGAACGGCATGCCGCACGTCGAGTACTTTTACTCGGAGCTCTACGGTGGCGGGCCGCAGCACGTGCACCAGCCGCTGCCGGGCGAGTCGGCATTCGCGCTCATCACGCTGCTCTTCAACCCGCAGGCGCGCGGTACAGTGCAGCTGCAAAGCCGCAATGCGCTCTTCCCTCCGGCGATCGACCACGCCTACCTCTCCCACCCGCTCGATCTGGCGGTGCTTGCAGAAGCGAACCGCTTCGGTGCCGAGACGATCCTCAAGGGCTCGGCGACCAAAGACGTTGTCTCGGGTGCATGGCCTGTCTCGCGCACCATGCCTAGCACGCAGGACGAGTGGAAGGAGTACGTGCGGCAACAGGCGGGGACGTGCTACCACGCATCGGGAACCTGTGCCATGGGTCCTTCTCCCGCCCCGTCCGAAGTGCTGACCAAGGGCGCGGTGGTCGACCCGCGGCTACGCGTGTATGGCGTGGCGAATCTGCGTGTTGCCGACGCGAGCATCCTGCCGCTCGTCAATACGGGACATACCCAGGCACCGGCGTACATGATCGGGGAGAAGCTGGCGTATATGGTGGCACAGGATGCAGGCGCCACGTCGACGCTGCCCGAGCGTCTTGGTTCGGCCAAGGCGAGTGGGAAGAACGGCGCACGCACACCTGCGCACCTCTAAGTTGAATCCCATCGTGCCGATTTGAGACGCGATCTTGCTGCGGGTGTGGATGTGGGACTGATGAGCTCGGGCGTGGATAGGGATGCAGGGGGGAGCATGGATTCCGTCCAGTAGCCTCGGCATTCGAGCATCGCAACTCTGGCATTGGTCGAGTGGCGAGCGTGGGTGGTGTGAGTATTCATCCCATCCATACGCACAATCGATGCAAACAGTAATCCACTCTGTAAACCCGCTCGGACCGCGCTCATGCTGTGAGATTCTTGTCTCAAGTGTGTGTGTGTAACGCATGTAGCACACGATCCATGTCCAAACAGCTTTGATATTATAAATGTTTGCAACGTCCATGTCTTGTTGCGAGTGTGTGACAGGATTGATTCCGGAACGAGAGCTCGACCAGCAATAAGCTCGGGTCGATTCTCATCTGCCTGGTCACCTTACTTGTCCTCTCGCCAACCGATCTAGTCAAGCCTGGACCTTGGGTGCAGCAACACGCCGATCCGAAAGTCTTGTAGGCAAAGCCAAAAAACCGTGGCGACAAGCCAATCAGCTAGCCACTCAGACGCACTACCGCGCGCGACTGGTTGCATGCCGCCACTCATCGCCGTCTTTCTCGACAGTCGAGCAGCCTTGCCTCAGGCTGTCCTGCACCAACCAATGCCGCGGGTAAAGACACCAACGAACCCACCAACGCGTGTCCACCACTGCTTTCACCCCCGATAATAGACAACAACAAAGGTGTCTGTGAGCGTGTGCCTTCGTCGAGTCGGTTTGGCAAAGAGAACCTTGCGGTACGTTGTGTAAATAGTCCGGCTGCGGTATCCGATCGCTGTTCGCTCTTTCGGGCGGTGCTGTGGAGAGAGAAGGCCACTTTGATCCCTCTTGGAACCTCTTGGGACCTCGGCATGTTGCTCCCCGCGCGTCTCAGCTCGACGATGAGCAAACGCGCCGGCAATATCAATGCTTCATGTCTGAGCTTGACAAGTGTAGCGCAAAGCAGCGAGTCTTGCCTCGCTACGCCTGGCCAACGAGCCGACGATTCGAACCCGACATGCACTTCTACCTCTGCCGCACCTGCACACCAAGTTCAACTTTGCTGCTATGCAAGAAAGCGCTGTGAACAGCTCGTCTGTGCTCACAAAGCGGGGAAAGGCGCAAGCAATGGCACACCCAAGCAAAGACAAAACAAAAGTCGGTCTAAGCTTGGCGCGCAAGGCGGATTTGCAACTGCTCGCTTGACTGCAAGTGAGGACCTCGCCAGCCCCCAAAAGGTACAGAACAAGGCGAAGAGGTGAGGCTTATCGAGCGCAACCACCTTCCCACTGCGAGTAGGGTATATCTTCATCTCTTCCTCCTGCTCCAAGCATTCCAGCATCCCTCCCTGCTTGACCTCATCCTGCAGTCGAGACAGCAACCTTATCCCCCCCTCCACTGTCGCTGCAACTTGCTCGTCCTGCTTCGCTCGCCGTTTGACTTGGTCGAGGATCACGCTTCGGCGCTGGAAGAATTCCCGGTCCGTTTTGCTTTCCCACCTGGATCCCTAGTCGCTGCACGATGGATTGCAGCGACGGCTTGCCTTTCGCACCGTGGACCTACTCGGTCCTCAGATCGACTACGCTGTTGATCCCGCGGTCCATGCAAAACTCAGCGTAGCGAGTGTCGTCGTTGCTCGTCGAGGCAGGCTATCTCTCCCGCCTCAGTCTGTCCATCTCTTGCTTGAGGCTCGGCAAGCCATCTTCTCGGGCGGTCAGGCGCAGGCTCGTTTCTGGAAACGCCACCAGCCGCGTCCCTTGCACGCTCGATTGTGCGGTAAGGCGGCGGGCAAACGCCTCGAATGCAGGATCGCTGATCGCGCCGGGTGTGAACAAAGCATGTCGTGGGTACTTTCTTCTCAGCACCGCCGCATCTTGAACCAGCACGCTGCACAGTCCGTGTAGCAACCCCTCCTTGCGCCCGGGAAACACTGCATCCAGAATCTCGGCAGGAACTTGGATGTTCCCCTCCTCGCTCGTTGCTAGGACTTGTTCCGGGCGATTCAGGTAGGAGCCGTTGAAGGTCTTTCCTGTCGACGTTTTGACATTCGCAGACCTTGCATAGGTTCTTGACGTGCACACCAGGCGATATCGCCGGCTTGCCCTCTAGTGGCGAACCGAAAACCTTGTCACCCTGGCTGTCCGTGAAGTAGAGATGCAGTGCCAATGCGCCCACCACACAAAGCTCCACATCCTTCCTCCTACCCACCACCCTCCCCTTGACTTGAACCCTAAGACCTGATCCTACGTCGGCGTGGAGGAGAAAGTCGCTCAACTTGAGCGCGCGCACTTCTGATCCGGACATACCGGCCGAGTGGCAGAGGTGCACCATGATTCGATCTCGGACGCCCTCTTTGCACACACGCTGCACGCCGTCACGAGCGAGCTTGACCACACTGCCCTCGGCCATGACCCATGCCGGCTTGGTCGGCTGCCGCTGTCCCGAGCGCGGGTTGGGTGCGTGTTGAGGCCGCTTTGCTGTTGTGTGCGCCACAGATCCACAATCGCCGCCACGCAGAGCTGGATTGATGCCCAACCCAGACCTCCACCCTGCACCGTACGAATTCCAGCCGACCAGGAACTCAGCTTGGCCTTGAGTCTTGTGCACTCTTATGCCGGCGCTGTATGACAGCTCGCAGATGGCGTATTCGGCCGGGGAGCCTAGGGCCACACGCCACACGCCACACGCCACATCAGCTCCACAGCACGTACCGCCGCACATGACTCTTGGTAACATCTTGCCCACCCTACTGCTGACCAGGGCCGCGTCATGGATTCATCTTGTCTTCGCCCGGTACGTGAGCGAGCTAGACGCATTTGGACGAGTCGAGCCACGGCGGTGGTACCAACAGGCATGTATTGGGTTGTCGGCAATATGTCCAACACTAGCGCCGGCAACATGGTCGTGGTGCAGCGACGATAGCAAATCCAGCGCCCCGACGAGGTGTCCACCCTGGCGGCCATATGCGGTGGCGACCATCGACACCGGCCACTTTTTCAGAAAAGCCACGGCGAAATTGCGCACAGAAAATTCATCTTCAAGGCCGCTCCTTTTTGCCGAACAGAGAACCGGAAATGCACAACCAGCTGCACATCAGCTGCACAGCTGCATTCGCCCAGTCGGGTTTCCGCGACCCGCATTTTTCCTTTTTTTTCGGGACTTTTTCTTTTTCGGGACTTTGGGGCCGAGTTCCGCGCCGATTCTGAGACATCGCAGCGCTCAGCGCTCAGTCGGCTCACGCCAACGGAGCGAGGCAGCCGCATCTCCTTCCCTCGGTGTTCTCTCAAGCGTACGCAGGCTCTACCAGAGACAAGTCGCATCGAATGAAGCGTCTCGTCATTTTGACTGGGCAGCACGGCCGGAAAGTCATGCACGGTTGTCGGATTTCGGGCGGTGTCCAACTTGGCGAGCTACACCAAACACGCCTAAAATCCGTATTTGCGGAGGCCGAAAAAATAAATGGGCGTCGTGCTGCATCGCCTCCTGCACCTGCGTCTCGCCAAGCCTCGGCAGGCTTCGACTCCAGCTGCACTGCTACCTCCCCCCAATGACATCCGCCCCCATCTTCGGCAGCGGCATGCGGGGCACCCCACACACTTGCTGTTCCTGCGTTTCCCACGCCTCAAGCGGCTAGCGCTCAACGAGCTGCTCGGTATCCACCCGCTTCCCACGCTGTCAAACGCCCACATAGTCCCGGCCTTCCTTTGGCTCTGCTCCGGCAGCTTCGACGCGTATGCACAGCTGCTGGGCTCCAACCGGTCGGTCGGCTCAGCACACACAACTTTCAAGTGAAAGACGTCCAACAACGCATCAAAGTTGGGGGGCAATAGCATCTTTGCCATCTGCAAGACGGGCTCGCTATGCAACACGCTCGCTATCCTGTCCTGCCGCGTCCGCACTTTCTTCCGAGCTAATCTCCCGAACGCCCCTCATACCCGTCGCATCTCCGCATCCTTCTCCACACATTCGTAACCCAATCGTCTTGACGCAGCCAAACAATATAAGCAACCATGCCGGTCAAACGCCAACGCAGCGAGGTCCCTGATTCTTTCCTTCCAGTATAAAGCGGCGCCAAGCATGAGAGAGCCAGCGCGCCGCAGACGCGGTAGAGACGACGACGGATACGGCGATCGAGACGCCATCCTCCAGCGCTCCTCCACTCGGCACAGCCATGCCGACGCACACGCCGACACCTTCCGCGGCTACCAGCCGGGACAACCCATCGGCTTTTTGGCAGCCAGAAAGACCGCCTACGGCAAAAAGGTGTTTGGACGAAAGCTCAAGTTCTGCCTCTTCTTCATCGTGCCTATCGCCGTCCTCGTCGGCCTCGTCCTTCTCACCGGGCCCATCCTCTTTGCTGTAGCACGTCACATTGTCAACGTCTCGGTGGTCCATCTAAACTCGCTCGACATCAACACCACCCAGTCTGCGCCAGGAGAATACCCGATCAAGCTCGATGCACGCGTCACCAAAACCGGCATCTTCCCCGCCCGCGCCTACTTCCGCGCGCCCGTCGATCTCTATTGGATGACCGTGCCACCCGACAGCCGCGAAATCCACATCGGCTCTCTCGAGCTCAGCCACCTCGGCGTCACCTCGCGCGGCTATGGAACGCTCAAGCAGTCCAACACGCTCAAAAACGTCTCGGACGACAACCTCGCCCTTCTGGCGCGCTTCCTCGTCAATGCCGAACAGGCCACGCTCAAGCTCAACTGCTCCGAAGTCAAGCCCGTCGCTTTCGGCTTCCTGCCCTCGTGGCACAACATCGCCATCAGCAAGCACGCCAACATCCGCGGCCTCAAAGGGCTTGGCGGCGTCAAGGTCTTGAAGCTCGACGTGCCGGGAGACGCTCCCCAGGGCGGCGCCATCATCAATGCCGTCGGATCGCTCATCAACCCGTCACCCTTTACCATCCAGCTGGGCAATGCGGATCTGCAGATGCTGTACAGGGATATGCCCATCGCAGAGGCTAGCATCACCGATTTTCGCCTCGGCAATGGCAACAACACCATCCCCATCGACGGTCGAATCTATCGCCAAGAGGGCGCTGAAAACCTCGCCAAACTCAGCGAAATGGTCTCGATCCTCACCAACAACGAGGCAGCTCCCGTCGCGGTGCGCGTCAACCCCACCAGCGCATCCACCCCTTCCTGGGTCAAGGCTGCCGTCGACGAGCTCAACATCGTGGTGCCCGTCAAGCTGCCGCAGCCCTTCGATCCCATCAAGGCCGTCTCGGTGGGCGCGGTGGATGTACTGGTCGACCCGGCTACCTCCTTTGCGCCCGTACTCAACTCCCAAGCCATCTCGGCCGATGTGGAGATCCCGTTCGGCCTCTCGCTCAACGTCGAGAGTGCGGCGGTCGACATCGACATCTCCACCGACAAAGCTGGAAAGACGCCCGCAGGGTTGGCTTCACTGCAGGGTGCACAGGCCAATGCTTCGTCGGCACTCGAGCTCGTCGGTCCCAGCCGTCGCGGTGGCAAATCATTCGTCTCGCTGGTCAATGCCACCATGTCGCCGCCCGACAGCGCCAAAGCCGATCAGGCCAACGCGCTCTTTGAGCACGTCATCCAGGCCGTCACTTTTGGTGATCAGGTCAAGCTCGCCGCCAAAGGCACTGCTGCCGTGACGGCCGACTCGTCCATCGGTCGCATCACGCTTCCAGCACTCAAAATCGCCACCACCACCACCATGCAGGGTCTGAACGGGTTCACGGCGAGTCCGCTCGAGGTGTTGTCGTTCGACATCCTCGGTGGCTCCAGCTCCGCCCTCGACGTCACCGCTTCCGCCTCGATCAACAACCCGTCGCAGATCTCGGTCAGCATCCTGGGAGATACGAGCTTCAACCTCGGACTGCCCAACGGTGCAAGCGTCGGTCGCGGACGTGTGAGCGATCTTCGCATGGTGCCCGGTCCGAACGTGCTCAACGCCTCGGCCGCCGTCTCGTTCGACGCCAAGAGCCAATCGCTGGTGCAACAGTATCTCCAGGGCAAACCGAGTCCCGTCAACGTTCAGGGAGACATGGCTTCGACGCAAGCAGAGTCGCTCCAATCGACGCTGAGCGGCATCAAGCTGCAATCGACCATTGCGGGCATCGTGGATCCGCTCCTCCTTAGCGCGCACATGCTCATCCTCGACTCGACCGCCGTGGTGAACAACATTGCTGATGCCATTCCATCGGTGGCAAACCCGTTCACTGCGCAGATCAATCTCAAGGGCTCCAAAGGTCAAGCCAGCGTTCTTGGGCTCAACGTCGGACGCGTCGATGCGACCGATCTCGACAACGCCGTCGTCATTCCATCGCGCTCGAATCCCGACCGTGCCAGCGACCAGCCCTTGCCTGTCTCCGTCGTCTTCGACCAGCCCAACGTCATCTTTGGCCTCATGCGGGGCCTGGTGGTGCAATCCGGTCAGAACCCCGCCCCGCTCGACTACCTCATGAACGTCGGCGGCATCAAGCCCGTCGGCGTCAAACAGTCCAACGCCAACATCCAATCGCTCTCGCTGCGCGCAGCTCCCTTCGACGGCTTCAGCCTGCCCAGATACGTCATGACGGCTCTGGCTACAGCACGTGCCGACGTCAACGTCAACGTCGATGTTCTCATCGGCGACTACGCTCTTAGCACGCCCTTCCAACAATCCAACGTGAATGTCACCTTTGACAACAGCGTCGAGAAGCTCTACTCGATCCTCGGACGCCCCATCATGCAGGCGATCGTGGATGCGGTTCAGCTCGACCTCCTTGGCATTCAGGTCGTCGACCTCGCACAGAGCAAAGTGGCGGTGGATGTGGCTGCCTCCGTGTCCAAGATCGGTCCCTTCGATGCCGTCGTCACGCTCGACAAGGGCGTTGATGTCAGCTGGCAGGGCAGAGTCATCGGCAACGTCGCGCTGCCCAACGTGACGATCGTTCCCGAAACAACGCCGATCCAGATGCGAGCCGAGCTGACCATCGCAGACGCCGGGCTCATGGCCGACCTCGTCAAGGCTTTGCTGCAGGAAAAGAGTCTGGATTGGACGGTTTCCACGCCGTCCATGGTTGTATACGCCTACGATGCCGTGCTCAACGGTCCGGGCCTGACAAAAAAGACAACGGTCAGGGCTTTTGACCGTCTGCGCAACGCTGTAGCGCTCAACACGTTCGATCTGCCGTCCAATGACCCAGCGGGAGGCATCCACATAACGGCATCCGCGTCCGTGCGCAATCCTTCCATGATCGGCGTCAACCTCGACCGTCTCGGCGTCAACTTTGGCCTGCCCACCAGCATCCTTGGTGAAGCCGGCCTTGGTGACCCGCTCAGCATGACCCCTGACGCAACCTCCAACGTCAATGTGGCCGGTCGAATCCTGCCTCAGTCCGGTCAAGGCCTCACGGACTTTTCGGCCATCGCGCAGAACTTCATCTCCAACAAGCCCACCACACTGACGGTGCATGGTGTTTACGCTGGTCCCGAGAGCGTCACGTGGCTTACAGAGGGGATCAAGACGCTCGAGATCCCTGTGACTGTGCCAGGCATCGTGCTCGACCCGCTCAAGAGCGTCAGCATGACCAGCGCCACGCTCGACTTTACCCAGCCCAATGCAGAGTGGTCGCCTGTGCTGAGCACCGACACGGTGCGTGCAGCCGTCGACATTCCGTTCGGCTTCCCCTTTGGAGTCGACAGCGTCGACGGCTCATTCGACATTTTGTACGGTGGCCAGGGTGCAGCTCGTCTTGTTCTGCCTTCTACCGGCGCCACGACGGAGAACAGGACGGTCAGCCTGGCGATTCAAAATGCCCGCATGACCATCCCTGGCAACTTCCGTAATAATTTCGCCAACCAGCTCGCCATCAATGCTGTGCAGGACCAGTCGGTGGGTGTCGGTCTCACATCGAGCGCAGTCAATGCTCTTGTATCGACCGCGTCGGGCGACATCACAGTCAAAGGCATTCCGATCCAGCTCGACCCTGCGCTTGCGTTGAACGGATTCCAGGGTCTTCGCAACAGTCCTGTGGGTATCGGCGGCCTCGACGTCACCGGTGGAACGAGCGACTATGTCATCGCCAGGGTGGACGCAAGCATTGTCAACCCTTCGCAGGTGCACGCCATCGTAGGCGATGTTCGGATGCAGGTCAACTATGACAATGGCGGCAGCATCGGTGATGCGCTTGTTCGCGGCGCCAACATCCCGCAGGGTCCCATCACATTGCCGGTCGAAGCGCAGCTCAAGCTCAACAGCGATATCGGGAGGCGTCTGATCAAGGACTTCCTCACCAGGGGTGGACCCGACATTCAGGCTCAAGCACACGGTACGGGCCGCTCCACCGCGTACGGGTCGCTCAATCCGGCCGTCTCGACGCTCGCGTTCGGTGCCTCGGTTCCCCGGCTCAACGAAACCTTGGTCACCCAGGCCACGCTGATTGTACCGCCCAACGTCGACAAGAGGCTGATTGTGGGGGCTTCGTTCGTCCTGACCAACCCGTTCGGTGCGACCATCACGGTGCTGCGCGCAAAGGCGAGCGCCACATCGCTGGGTGGAGTGCTGCTCGGCAGCGTCGACGCCAACATCAACATGGTAGCGAATGGACGATCTACCGTGACCTCGCCACAATTCCCCGTGCAGGTTAACACCAACCTTGCCGCCATCATCGGCTTTTTCGAAGACCAGGCCAGGGCAAACAGTGTTGATCTCGGCCCTCTGCTCCCGCTCATTGAGCCGATCAAATCTCGCCAGAATCTGGATTCCAGCATCAGTTACCGACCGGCTCAGAGCGACGGATGCCCTCTCAATGGCGCCACTGATGTGGTTGGTGCTCTGCGTCGTTCGCTCCAGGGCACTCAGCTCGCTGCCGATGCTCAGGCCAACGTTCTGGTGGGCTCGTATCGCATCGATAATGTCCCCGTCCAGCTTCAGCCGATCGCGCTCCAAGTCGACGATAGCGTGCGATACCTCATCGGACCGTTTGGTGCGCCCGTCGTCGAGAACATCGTCAGCGGACTGACGCTCGAAGTCCTCAACATCTCTGCCTCTGCTCTGTCTGCCGACGGGCTCAGTGTCAAGGTCAGCGTCCAGATCGGCGGCATCGGACCTTTTGCCGCCCAGGTCAGCTTTGCCAAGCCTCTCGAGACTCGATACAAGGGAAGGCGCATCGGTACGATCGACCTGCCTACTTTCTGCCTCCCCGCGGATGGCCGTCTCGACCTCGACGTGCGACTCTCCGTCACCGACCAGAACGGGTTTGGCGACTTTGTGAGCGATCTGATTGCGCAGGAGAGTCTCGACATCGAGATTTTTTCGGACTCGATCGTGGCCAATGCCTACGGTGTCGAGTTCTCCAAAATTCGTCTTCAACGGCCGATCACGTTGCAAGGACTTCAAGGCTTGCCGGGCGTCGTCGCAAGGACGGTCTCGGTCGTGGGGCAGACGTCCAACACATTGCTCGTCGAAGCAGAGGCCACGGTACCGTCGCGCACGTCGATTCGCGTCGAGCTGCCCAACGTCGATGTCGACTTCCAGTACAACAATGCCGTCCTCGGCGGCGTTCGTGTTCCCGCCGGCACGGTCTTGGCGCCCGACGCGGCCAATGACTTGCGCGTCAATGGCCAGGTGAATCAGATCACAAACAATGCTCAGCGCGCGGCGTTGGGTGCGCTCGCAAGCCGGTTCATCTCTGCCAACACCACCACCGTCAACATTGTCGGCAACAGCGCCTCGGATGCCAGTGGTCAGAACATCCCGTGGCTCACGCGCGCGCTCAAGACGCTCAAGCTCGCTGTGGATGTGGCCGGCCAGAACCTCAACCCGGTCACGCGTGTCAATCTGCCGGACCTGACTGCCGACTTTGCCTCTGCACAGGACGAGGGCTTCCGATTCCCCGTATCGTCGCAGCGAACAGAAGCGGTAGTTTCAATTCCGTACAACATCAACGTCGGGGTGGTTTCGGCCTCGGGCACTGCTTACGTCGCCAACGCTGGCTCGACGGTTCGAGCCGCTAGCGTGGAGCTCGACTCCATACCGATCTCTGGATCGATCTCGGGAGCCAATCAGCCTGCGACGCTGCAGCTCAGCCTGAAGGACACCATTCTGACCGCGGTGGATCGGGGTGCGTACAATGACCTCTTGATCAGTGTCGTGTCCAAACCGACGACCGAGCTGCGCGTCCTCGGCGCCGTCTCGGCTGTAGTCAACCTCGCGGTGGGACAGATCACGATCGACTCGGTCAACCTCGACGTGCCCACGACCTTGCCGTCGCTGAACAATTTCGGAGGGCGGCTGCAGGTGGTTGGCAACGTGGATGTCATTGGCGGTACGCCAGAGCACGGCATTGCAAAGCTCAAGGTGATCCTCAACAACCCTTCGATCATCACCGCCAAGATCAAGGAGCTGAGCATTCCTGCCTTCCTCGACGGCAACACTATCGGCCGTGCGACTATCCAGGACCTTGTCCTCAAGCCTGGTGACAACAACCTGGAAGCCACCATTTACATCCGGCTCGAACAGCCTCTTGGCAGTCCAACGGCGGTGAAGCTCGTCCGACAGCTCATCCAGCCCATCCCCGGTACGCGAGATCCGTACGTGACCAATCTGATGGCTTACAACCCGCCTGGTCAGCAACCGGGCATCACCGAGTTCGCCGCACTCAATCCGGCGCTTGACACGCTCAGGCTCGCAATCGATCTGCGCGGACTGGCTCTGCAGCTGGTCCAGCTGGCCAAGATCAGCATCGAGGTCACCCAGCTCTTTGCCGGTCCTGGCGGCCTGCCTTATGTGATTGCCGACATTGATCTGGAAAACGGCCTGCCGACCCAGCTCGCGCTCGAGCAGATTGCTGCCAACGGCGCCAAGGCCGGCTCTGGCAAGACCTACGCTACACTGGACCACACGTTTGATCCGACGCTCATCTTGCCGGCCGCTGCAGCCACCCTGGTAAATCCAGGCAAGGCCACGGCGCACATTCCCAACGTCCTGCTTCCCATGGGTCTGCTCAACTCGATCGACATTGTTGGCAACAATCTCGATCTGGACATCACCAAGGCGCTGATCAAGATCGGCGGGTCCAACGGCTACGAGCTGCAAGGCGCATTGACCTATCTCAACGTGCCGGCTACGTACACGCTGACGCTGGCTGGCGTGCCCATTGCGAGCCTCGACTCGCTCGGTGGATTGCTGGGCGCGCTATCTGGTGTCGTCGGCGTCCTTTCGCCCAACGAGCGAAAGCTCCTCAGCGACGGTCTGCAGAACTTGGGCTCGGGCAACATTCTGGGGCTCGTGGATAACGGCTTCAAGGATCTCGTCTGCGTCCTCAACGATCTACCTCTTCCGTTGCTGGGTCAGGCCGGCTGTCCGCAAGCATCGACGTCGAGCACATCGGCTGCATCGACGTCCGCTGCCGCCACAAGCTCTGGATCGGCTTTGCCTGCCGTGGTGAGCGCCGCGTCAGGCGCCGCATCCAGCGCAACATCGGCCGTTGGACCCGTCTCATCGATCCCACCGGCCGCTTCCTCGACTCCAGCAAGCAACCCATCCCCCGCACCGTCCTCTCCAGCGTCATCGCCCGCAGCAGCAGCTTCGAACACCCCGGCAGCAACGAGCAGCGCCGGTCTCTTGGGCAATCTCGGCAGCGGTCTCGGTCTATAATATCTTGCATCACCTATTTTACCCTGTCATTCGCGCTCGCATTGTACATCATCTTTCATCGCAAATTGTTCATAGAGTCCTGGCCCGGCAAGAGTCGGCAATTCGCCAAAGACAGACACAAACACAGACCTAGCCGCTGTTCGTGAGCGCGAGGATATCAATAGAGCAAGCTGGTCGATATCTGCCTATCCTTGCTTGAGCGCTGGTGCATCGCTCCAGCTCGCGTCTCGGTCCTAGAGCTGAGCCGAGTTTGCCTCGTCTTGATCTTGTGACGAACGGAAAAAGTCCCATTCCTCCCTGACAGTACCATCGGGAAACCTACACATGCCGGTCTCGTTACCATCCTTGTCCTTGACGATCTCGAGCGTTCCACCTTGCTGGATGCAGTAGACGCTTGCTGGATTGGCGAGACCCACCTTGGGCGGTTGTTGCTGCGAGCGGAAGAAGTCCCACTCCTCCACAACGGTACCGTCCGGAAGCTTGCACATGCCGACCTCGTTGCCGTCCTTGTCCTTGACGATCTCGAGTGTCCCACCTTGCTGGATGCAGTACTCGCTTGCAGGATTGGCGATCTGCATTGTCGAGGGCGACCAAAGGTACCACAGAGTGAGAAGCGCCAGGACAGTGATGCAGGCGATTCGGAGGGACGGAATGCGATTTGGCATCTGTGGTCGCAGATGGTCCTCGATGAAAAAGGCTAGCTCTGCACTGTCCTTTAAATGCTTGATGGCGGCGGGCTTTTTAAACGCTTTCCGAAATTCGCACCCTGAGACATGCATCAGCACAGCCACATCCCGAGTCGTTCTAGAACCAGTCTTGATCCAGCCGAGCGTTCTCACTCACTGCATGCACGTCATCCGAGCGCAATGAGTTTCAAAATGCCGGCCTTTTTTTGAACCCTTCCCATGTGCGCTCGAACCTGAGCTCGGCCACCTGCAGGACGTATTCCGTTGTGCGCGCGCGTCCGACAAGGGGATGGTACTTAGATTGCAGCTGGGACCCTCGTCTAGATGTAGGCCGAGCGACGCCATCCTCTCCTTACAGAAAGCCCTCCGAACAGCCGTTTACTTCTAGACCAAGAGGCAAGAGATTTGTGGTGACAACAGTACATACAAAGAGGCTGAGCGAAACGAAGTTGGAGCATTAATTTTTTTTTGTTCTTTTCTATCCTTCCCGAGACAGGGGAGGTGTAAAGGCACGGGGACCGAATAACCTCTTGACCAGACAGGACAGAGGCAATGCGGTCCCGATAATGCATAGCAGGGGCATACCGAGCAGATCCGAACGACGAGCCGTGGAGCCTTGATCTTGTTTTTATTTGTTGTTTGCCGAGCGCGAAGACTTGAGAACCGACCGGAAGAGGAGCATTAATCCTTTTTTGTGTATATCTCTCCTGAGCTTTTCTTTGAGAGCCGATGCTGCAGGAGAGGTAACCTGAAGAGCGACTTGACTACCGCAAGAGCAACTCGACAGGGCCAAATATCTAATCCGTATATACGAACCAATGGCGACCGCCAATCACCAAGCAAATTACCTTTTACCAGAGACGTAGAACGAGCGCGCAGCTATCTTGATCTAGATCGACGAGCCGTAGATTTCCCACAACTTCTTGCGGACGAGCTGCAAGTCGGGGCCAGTCACTTCGTGCAATTTGACCTGGTTGAGTTGAGATTCTTGGCCTCCTTGTGGCAGAGTGTCAAAGACAGTGCCGACAGGGATATTACCATCCGACTTGATGCAAATCCAGACTTGTTCAGGTACGACCGGTTGTTGCCCGTAGGAGGAGAAGAGAGAAAAGAGCGAAGGACGGACGTCCTGATCGTAAAGCAAGACGATATATCTTGCGAACATGTCGAGAATCATGTTGCTGCGTCGTTTGTAGCCGAGTTCCCGCCTGCGCATTCTGTAGCCGAATTCCTGCAAAGGATGCGAGAATTGCCTTCCAAACAGAGTTGAGAGGACGTCGTCATCGTCCGCGGCCAGATACCCTTTGTGAACTTCTTGCGCTTCATACATTAAGAGGATGGTAGCTTCAAGACGCGTGACGCTCACGAACTCGGCCACGAGCGCGGGCGTGCCATACTCGACTGCCACTTCCTTAGCGTCCCGAAGGCGGTCCTCAAGGGTACTACGCCTGCCGCTTATGTCAGAAAAGAGCATTGGAGTCCGGGAGGCTTCTGCGTGAGACTGCTCCGAGTCTGTCTCTGAATCGTCCATGTCAGAAGACTGGTCCATGTCTTCGTCTGACAGCGGCGGGGTTGAGCCTCGATCAACAGATCGGAAAACCCGATCCGTACCTTCTGAAAGCCGTACCAAGAACTGTGAGAAGTCGAAAGGTTCAGCGATTCCCTCTAGAGCGTGACCGGAGTGTTGAGAAGGATGATCGGTTCCTTCTTGAGACCGCTGAGAAAATGCTCCCGAAGACCCGAAGAACCCCGAAGGAGCAGGATCGATTGGGAATCCTGGTTGTCCTTGCCGATCCTGTGGGAGTGGGTCACCGTCGGGTAGGTCGAAAGGGAAGGCGTGAGAAGGGTTCGTTGAGGATACTGCTTGTCCTTGCCAATCTTGTAGGAGTTCGCCTAAGTCGGGTAGGTCGAAAGAGAAGACGTCAGGGACTTGGTCTCCGTCGGTCAGGGAGGAAGGGAGGATGGCCATTTGGTCTTGGTGGTTCGATCCGGTCTCTGCATCAGCAGAATCGACAATCAGGTTTGCTTCTTCTTGAGACTGCCGAGGGATCGTCTCCGCGCCGACAAAGTCGGCAGAGTGATCACCTCCTTCCCGAGACTGCTGTGAGCTGGGCTCTGAAGCGGCAGAGTTCGAAGGCTGGTGAGGATCGATGCGAGGGCGAACGCAGTTAGCCTCATCAAGGGTGCAGTCAGCGCAGATTCCGACAAGATCGCATGCGATCTTGCGCTTTCGACATGCGGGGCACGAGGAAGGTGGCCTCCCTACTCTGCCCCGTCCGTTCGATCGGGCTTGGTTCGGAAGTGGCGCGACCTGACTCATGTGAGAGTCGATTCTAGCGGTGCTTGATGTGATCCATATGATAGGTGGTGGCTGATGAAAAGGGCGCCAGGGAAGTTGTGAGAGGTTAGGGAGACGGTGTGAAATTGGCATCAACTCGGAGAGCAACACTTTGACTAAATGCGCGGAGCGGAGCGCCCGCGGGCAGATTTTGTGGGGTTGGTCTCGGCTCGACCAAACGAAAAGAGTGAATCCCGGTCCCTCCACATGCATGAGTGCGAAATCAGATGACTCGTCCAACACCGCCCCCGCCGGGGCTTGAACACTCCTATCACTTCGGTCTTCTCTTTCACCTGCTCGATGCTCAGCGGAAATTTCGATACGATCATCCTGACCACCATATCTCGCAACCCTAAAAATCCCGAAAGGTTACGATGACTTTGGATCAATTTCCGTGGCCTAGTCAATTTGCCATCGGCGTCTATCAAGAGCCCGAAAAGAACAATTGGCCGCGCCTCTCGCCGGCGCCGGGAAATTAAATATTCATTCTGAAGCGGTGTTCACAGAAAGCGGCCGATTTTCCCCCCACGGGAAATTCGACTTGAGCTGTCCAGAGCGGCAAAGCGCCTCCCCCTCTCTGCTGCGGCAACAAGCTCGTATTAGCGGCTCTTCTCGTGATACTGATAGGGAAACTCAAGAACCAACCGGCTGTCAACCGGCTGCGAAGCTTGCGCCCTCCCTGACAAAAAGAGGGTGGACGGGTATTTAAACACAAGCGCGCGCGGTCTTCGTTTCCGTTCAGTACGCAAGTGACCTAATCCCTCCCCTATCCTACTTCTTCCTCGTTCATGATGGCTGTCCTGATCCCTGACTCAAACACCTTGCCTGCAACGCTTGACCCTAACGCCGTACCGATGCCTTTCCCGCCTAATGTCTTTCAAGTGCTCATCGTCGTCAGCTACACTTTGAATCTCTGCTGGACATTTCTCGTCATGCTGCAAGGCGTCTCAGACACAACCTACCTCGCCGCCATTCGAGCTACTTTCATCTTCGTCATCCCAAAGATCGGCCAAGGCCTCATGAGCCACGCGGGCGATGTCGCCCTCCTACGTCCTTGGGCCGTCTGGACAATCATCGCCCTTGAACTTGCAGCGTACTCGATGTTCTCGTTCCAAATCTACGCTCAGGTAACCGCCAACACTCGAGGACAAAAGCGAGCCCGAGATGGCGGCGAGTTCGAACTTGGAGGCACAGGAGGCGGTACCGATCAGAATGACTGATCCAGGAGAGTTGCTGTTCCGCTGGTCCGGAACGTAAGCGACATTGCGAGGTCGTTCAGCGCCGTGATGCCGGCCGTCAACGGCGTCTGGCCCTCTCTAGCTACATTTCTCTCAAAGTCTCGTTGCGCATTGCACTACTCAATACCCATTCAAGCCATTCAATACCCTTTCAAGCCGAATGTTCCTTCCCGACGGTCCTTGTAGATAGATTCTGCGACACAGCATCAAAATGACACTTGACCGTGAAATCCGATCCGAATCTCTACATTCATGCACCATGTTGTGCCACGAGGGCTGCCGCCGTTCGGCACCGGCTGCAGCAAAATGCGAGCCGAGCTGGACCCTGAACTGCTTCCAACGGAGGGGCAGCTGCCTGTGTTCGATCCTGCCAGCCATGGTCCGAGCGCATCTGTGTGGTCGTCTGTGTTGACCAGACCGCCACTTTCGCTCTTCCATATCTGCTCGTTCCGACCGTCGACCTCATTCCACTCACGCAATCGCTGAATTTCACGGACCATCGTCGCGCGACGTGAGTAGAATGGATCCAGTTGAGTATCTTTCGCAAGTGCGCTTTCATCAGTCAATCCAATGTAGGCGAACGCATTCTCGCGTCACGTTCGCCCTCGGTGGCAGTGGCTGGGATTCGGCCGTGACGAGCAAGTACGGCACGATCAACGCAGCCGGCTCCGGCAAGGATGCATATCATCACCAAGGTCCGCTGTTGCTGTATCTGCTTCCCTCTGGCTGCAGTCGACTGCTCGGCATGATCCTTGAAGGCATCTGTCGAGAGTCCAACGTCTCGATCCTCGCCATCGATCGACCAGGCAGTGGCGGCACAACAATGTGCCCGTTGGAGAAGCGTATCCAGACTGCAACACAGCAGACTCTCAGCGTGTTCGAGGCACTGCAACTCGATCGACCCGGTATGCCGCAGCTGAGGCTCCTGAGCCACTCTGCCGGCTGGTTCTACACTCTTGCATTGCTCCAAGCGGCACCGCAATACTTTGCAAGACAAGACTCACCGCTCAAAGTTGTCTTGTCGTCGCCGTTCGTACCAACAAGCCAGTCGTCGAGCACGACGCTGTCGCTGCTGCCAAAGGGTCTCGTTGCGCTCACGCCAAAAGTGATGCCCTTCCTTGGTCGCAGCATGAACTGGTCCACAGGCATAGCCGACGACATTGCGAGTGTAGGCAAAGGCTGGGTCGCCTGGTCCAGCGCTGACGTCGATCCAGCCCAGTTGCAGGAGCAAAAGCGAGTAGAGCGGGAGAAGCTCGACCAGAAGAATCGCGAGGTGCGAGCGCGAAGCAAGCAGAAGCATCCCCGTGCTCGCTTTCATCCTCCGTACGAGTCGCATCTCAAGTTTGGCCTGGATGCGTGGAAACACATCGAACACCCTGCCGACATGACACCACGCCATCCCAAGACGGGCCGGCGGCTCAAAACAGGCGGCGATCTGTTGTTCGACTACGTCCAAGAAGAAGGCTCGATGGCCGGCATGTGCGAAGACTATCAGCTTTGCCTGGGCAATGCGCCATGCCTGAACAACGATGCGCTCACACACTGGATAGTCGAAGCACTTGACAAAGTGCTCACCAGCGTCGTGTCACTTTCGAGCCAGCCTGTCCAGCTGGTAGTGGTCTGGGGCGACGCCGACTTTCTCATCCCTCGCAAAGGACGTGACTGGTTGGATTCGGTGCTCAAGCCACACGAAAGAGACAGCAAGGTCAAGTATGAGCGATGGGACATGGCGGAAGGTGGACACGACTCCACGCTCTTTTCGGAGGATGTCATGAACGATGTGCTTGCATTCCTGACCGGCGCTGCAGACTAGCTTGACCTCAGTCCACCATCGTTTTTTAAAGATCATAACAAATCCGAGCTAGATGCGATGATGCACCATCGTACCCAAAAATGGAAGCAGTGCAGTGTCGCGTATCCGGACTGAGCCTTGCCATGATCGTCCCAGGGTAGCCGTGATTTACCGTGCCTCCACAACCGGTCTCGGCCTTCTCGGCCTGAAACTTCCAACCGTGCCGAGGTGTCCGGCGAGATGGTATGCCCGTTGCCGGTATTCGACGACGTGCGCCCCGAGTCTTGTGTGTTTAGGGACTGCGGAAGCGCCGGGCTAACCCGGTTGCAGCAGAAGTTTCGATCATGTCTTTGGTCGGGCAGCTCCTCGGGGACTCTTCATCGTCTTCCACCACCACCATCTGAAAGCTTGCAGTTGCGCCATGTCCGAACAAAACGAAAAGAAGCTCTCCGTGGGCATCGTCCTATATGATGGCGTCACCCAGCTCGACTACATCGGGCCATTGACTGCGTTCGCACCGCACTTTCGCACGTACCTGCTGCACCACACGCTCGATGCCGTTACCACCGATATCGATGCGGTGATAGCGTTGCCCACGGCCACCTTTGATCAAGTGGATCAGGTCGACATCCTAATGATTCCGGGTGCGCCAAACAAGCACATCAATCGACTGCTCTGCGACACCCGCTTTCTAGCGCAACTGCGCCGCCTCGGCTCCGGGTT